CCTCTGAACAAGGGGTAACCCACCTAGTTGTGGGGGCTAGGGGTTAAGGCACAGGAAGCACCGCAGGTCCCCCAGTGTATAGAAAATTGTCACTAAGACCCCCTGATAAGGAATTGCCAGGCACCCCTCAGCCTCCAGCTGTGCTCCCACCACCATCTGGATCATAACCTGGTGTCTGAAAGAGTGCATGAGGTGGAGGCTGCGGTCTCAGCGCCCCAGTGTGAGGGCCACCACCAGGGAGATAACTCTCCCCAGGGTTTGGAGCTGGGAGAGCAGGGCCCAGTTGGGGATATAGGAAGGGATGGAGATGAGGACCACCATGGTCCCCAGCTCTTCCGGAGGCTCACTTTCCACCGTGAGCCCCCTCTCCATCGCCTTTTGTGTGGCAGCCTCCAAGGCAAAGAAAAAGACCCTCTTGCCATGAAAGCAGGAGGCTGCCACGATCTTGGGGGCTCCTACTACCCGAGCCAGGACCTGCACCCAGGTCTCAAAAGTGCAGATTCTCCCACTTGGGCAGTTGGTACTTCACCCCATGCCTGTGGGTGGGTGTCAGACAGGGTGACCCACTACCCGAGCTGGAAGGGCCGAATGTGGGAGGGTCCAGGCCCCCCAGCTTCAGGTCTCCCCACAGCTGCCTGTAGATAGCTGCGGTCCCCCCCTCCAGGGGCCACATTGGTGGGGCTAGGGCTAGGGACAGGCTGAGTGTGTGCGCTGGCTGGTGTAGCACACCTGGTCCCCTCAGGTACTGGTGGTCTAGGCTTGGGGGCAGGGCCCTTGCCTTTCCCACCCCAGCTGTGGAGGAGGCTGAAGAGGAGCCCTTCCCACTGCCCTTGCCCTTGGTCCCTGATGAAGGGAGACAGGGCTTGAGAGCCCCTCCGGGGATAGGGGGGCCTGGTCCTGTTGGCTCCCTACTGGAGTCCCGCCTGCCCCTGCGGCAGAGGTTGCAGTCTTCTCCACCCCCAGAGAAGGTTGGTCGGACTCTGCCTCTGGGGTGCAGGGGTATGCATCCCCTTGGGGGCTTGGCTGGGATCCACCCCCATAGTGGGGGCTGCAAGAAGCTCTGTGGGGGTATCTGCCTCCCCCAAAGGTTCCTGCCCTGCCATTGTTTCACATGACGGCAGGGAAGACCATAAAGGAAAACAAAATATCTAGTGGGGTTGGTGAATCTAGTAGAGGCAGGCTGGGGTTGTGTGGGAAAAGTGGGGTAGGGAGGAAAGGGGCTGAAGCTCACTGAGCTACAGCCGCACAGGAAAAAAATCAGGAGGACTATGCTTTGAGAATGTTTGTGGGGGAGGGGGGAACACACACACGCGCGCGCGCTGGAGAAGCTTGGGCTGGCTTATTCAGCCACATAACAAACATCAGGGCAGGGGGAGTGGACCACAGGACTTACCACACAAGGGCAAGAACACACAGGGAAGGCTGCTGAGGCAGATACAAGAGATGGCTGGAGCAGTGGAGGGACTTTGTTGAAGATCTGTCCAGGAGCCCCTCAGGCCTCCAGCCAGGCACTCAGCAGCAGAGCAGTAGGCAGGAAGACACAGCAGGATAAGATGCAGTGAGGTAGCTGTGGGGGAAGGCAGGAGTAGTCAGTCAGTTAGGGACTAATCAAGTGCAGGTGTGGTGTCAGGTGGTGCAGCAAGGAATCTCCCTCTCTCCTGAGGGGGCAGCAGCAGAAACAATGGCAGCAGCAACAGCAGCAGTGATGGTAGGATCTGTCCAGTTCAGCCACTCAGGGTGTGCTTCTGGTGCAGTTGGAGGTGAAGTGGGAGTTGACCTGCCAAGGCAGCTGGGGCAGGCAAGGCACCTTTAGGCTCTGGCAGTGATGGTGCAGGAGGGGCCCCCAGGCAGTGCAGGCTCCCTCCCTAGGGTGTCCCCCGACCGTGACTTGGCAGCAGGCTGGAACAGGGATGTGGTGCTGGGGTGTGGTGGGCCCCTCCCTGAGGAGGGGCAGCAGTGTACAGCAGAGGACCCCCCCCCCCATGGG